CTTTTGGTGGCAGCTCGGAGGGCACAAATCAATCAATGGATTGATTACCTTCTTCAGGATTAACACCCTAAAATTAGGAAGTAACCCACAGTCTGATATGAGCAGGTATTAAAAGATATTATTCTAAAGCCACAGAAATATCAAAACTTGTTTCCTCATGTGGGTTTTGGAGCACCATTGTGCGGGAAAACAAGAATACTTCCACTGCCTCCCTAACAAGCATGTCGTAAAAGTTTACTAATTAGAGATCTCCTTCAAAGTCAGAGTGCATCTGCCTGAGAGGCAAAGAACCAACAATTGGTATACCAAAAAAAACAAAAAACAAAAAGAAGACTGTGATCTGTTAATGGACGTATTTGCAAAAAAGTACTGGAAAAAGACCAAAATCCAGAGGTGGGTGAAGAATCAGAAACTTTGCTGGCATTTACAACTGGTGAATGCAAAGAAGAAGAAGATCAGATCACTGTAATGTTTCTGTGGTCCTTCCAATTAGCAAAAACATCTTTACTTTAGACTTTCTGTGTGGGTTCCAGGGCCCCATTTTGGTTGAAACAAGAACAGACCCACTGCTTCTACTAATCATGTTGTTTAGTGTGAATAATTAGGGATATTTTCTTCACAGTTGGAATGCATCTGCAATGAGAATGATCTTTTTCTAACTGCTAAATCAAATTGTGGTATGTTGAGAATACTAGCTATCTGGTTAGTGCACTCGCTTAGCAATTCAGATAAGAATCTACATAAACCTTTCACTGCATTCAGTTTCTGACTCCACAGTTAGTATTCAAAGTGCCGGCTTTTTGGAGCACTCTTATGGCTTTTTGGTGCTCTTTATTGATAACCTTCTGTTTGCTGAGAGAGACTTGAGTCATTTGCAATAAAATTAAAACGATTCCTGTTTAAACACCAGTTTGGAACATTATGTTAATGTCATGCTTATGCTGCACGGTTTACCAATCAGTTCAGCTCTGAGGTTAACACAGCTTAAAACTGGTACTTTAAATTGTTTTGATAATTCAACACGTTTTTGTTTTAATTAATAAAAACAGGACAAATTAAAAGAAAAGTGCTAAAATATTCATATACGTTGTTGGCCAGACTTTTGTGTGTGTGTGTGGTAAATATGTAAGAAGTTTATATAGCATTTAGTAAGCTCAGCAATGTATACCACTCCTCTTTTGCCACCCAAAAATAGAAAAGCAAGGTTTAAAATAAATAAAAAGCAACCTATAAATAGAAGTCTAAAGGAAAACTACCAAAATATGGGCTATTTACAGAACTTTCAATTGTTTTCCCACTACCACAGACAGTCAAAAACATACAGGAATTGACGTTGTTAATTTTCAATGTCCTTTCTTCAGTTTTCTTTATTGTTTTTCCTTTGTGGGCTGCTACCTGAAGGGCTGACATCCCTGCAACTCAAAGAGCCAGATTATGTGTGTCATTTCAACAGGGCAAATTTCAGTGTCCATGTTCTACCTCCAAGGAAGTTATAATTAGGGCACATATAATGGCTGCACTAGGCTGATGTATGTTGCAATACTGTGTGGGTGAGCTCAAGACAGGTAACAGTTTTTTTAATATTATGAAAAAAAAACTTTTACTCTGCTGAATCAAACACAGTTATTTTATATCCAATATCAACTTCTTTTTTACAATCCACAATGTGTTATGAAGGTAATTAAGTCTGTTCACAGCCTTCTGTCCTGTGTACTGTCAATCAATTCTGATAAAGATGATTCTCAATGACATGATGCCAGACTGTCCAGCATCTTCTCTTTTGGCTGTTTTCAGCATCTCTTACCTTCCAATGTATTCCATCTTCCCCCTTGTCAGGACATTCTATATAACTATGGTGTTTAATGTAGCCAAAGTATTCCAGCTTTCAGAACATGTTGGTTATGAATCAGATTTGTATTTAAAGCCTTACATCTTAAACAATGAAAAGCTTCTTAAAAAAAAAAAACAGTTTGGTGCAGACATTAAAGCTAATCTTTTTAATAATATTTAGCTAGTTAAAAAAGTAATGTATCATATAATAAAATATTGAATACACATTTCCATCACTGTTTGAATTTAAAATGTTGTCATTTCAAGTATATATGAGTTATTTTGTTTCTTGTCGCTGGAGATCAATTTCTCTTTTATCCACCTCAGAATGGGTTGGGAGATGGCTGATTATGGCAGTTTGATAAGAAATCTGTTATATCTGAATTATTTTTGTATATTTAATTTTTTTGACAGACGTTCTTCTGAAATAATAAATTATATGTTATTCTTAGGGTTTTTTCCAGGCATCCTCACCTCCTTCTTATTCTGGCTATCTAAGAAATTATAAGCCTTCTTCTGTAAAACCACATCTTCGAGCCCTCAAGAAATTGTTTGGTTTATTTACTAACTGCCCAAGATTTACAGGAATATGTTACAAATGGCTTTGTATATTATGCGAGAATTATGTTTCCAAGCTCTCTTCCGTCTTATAGTGTTGTTTTTACTTCTCAGACAACAATTTATTAGGAAAAATTAATCAGGTTGTTTTATTTCTGGCAGTACTATGGTACTAGCATTTTGTTTTAGTAATGTGACCATATTGTCAGTACAGATTTTTAGGCAGACTCAGACCACACTCAACCAACAAAATTCCATTGTTCCAGTCGACATTGAGTACTGACAAGATAGTCTGGGCCTACCTGATAAAATGAGACTTAAGGTCACCCTATGTTTTAGGCATAATTCTTATAGTGTTAATGTAATAGACACTTTGTGGTGAGCACTGGCACCTTCATTTAGACACTTTGTGGTGAGTATTGTCACTTCATTTTCTAGAAGAGAAAAGCTCTGGTATGTAATGAATTTTAACTAACAGCTGCTTGGTGTTGAAAGAGTTAAGATCTTCCCTACTTATTCTGGAGAACTGAAACAGCAGGAAAACAACTGAAATTTGCCCAAAAGGCACATTTGATATATCATTCACAAATGTGGGTAAACATTGCTAGGAAAACAGTAAACACCAGATCAGGCTTTAAAAAAAAATGCAAGAGATTGTCAAGTATGAGAGCTAACCTGAAATAAAAATACTGTGGAAATGAAGTATAGCCTAAGAAGCCGCATTAAAAGTAGATTTATCCATTTAGTACTGAAACACATTTAGAAATAAGAAAAATGTAAATTTAATGCAACAGTACACATACAACACAGAAAGAAAAGTAAAAATAAATAAATATAAACTAAATATATATCACAACTGTCATTATCTTTTGCAATTATTTTCTGATAGGAAGCCATTTGCAAAATTATGTCTTCTGCTTTTAGATTGGTGCTTTAAGTAGTAGTTTGTTTTCCGAAATAGTCAGCTCCAATTTGTTTTGGGTAACTTTAGTCAAAAATAAAAAAAAAACAAAATAAACTTACCGATAACAGCATGTAATTTCTGTGGCTGAAATGTTATGGATTGTTTACAGCATGTGTTTGTTTTACACTTTAATTCTGTTTCTGTATTTTGTGCTTAAGATGCAATTATGTTAAAAAAAAAAAAAACAATCGTTGACAATTAATTCTTGAAAAGCGACACTATTATCATACACATTCTGATTAATTTTTTTTTTAGAACAGCAACATATAGCATGTCAATAAAAAATAAGTGTGTAAAATAAACTGCAAGAACTAAATTTAAGCAGAAAACATTAAAGCTAACCTTCAAAAATATGAATTGAAAAGAAAAAAAAAATATCAAATTTGTTTGTTGAAATTTACAATTTTAAAGAGAAACAACTCATCACAGAATTTGTCATACTCATAGATACATTGGTAGCTAGGCAGATTGGTATAGACAGCATACCAGTAAAATCTTGCCACACTCTGTTAAATCAGACACACACATGCAAAAACAAACATCTGCAAACATCTTAAAATTAATCCAATTCAGAAATTGAAGGAGTAGACACTGACACAAGTGTTTTTATCTGGTGACTAAATATTTGTTGTGTCAATTCAATAAACAGTAAACTTATTTTATGATTACACACTAAAACTGACAATGTACAAGAGGAGTAACATCATTTCAGTATTCACTTCTATAGTATTAGACATAAATATAGGTACATACAAAGAATCACTTCAAAACATTTAGATGAATCAAATATTTTAAGTCAAAATGAGATGTTTTATAGGTCATAATGGAGACAAGATGATGTCATGAGAACTTGTTTGCAAACATGACTATCTGCTTTGTGTAACACATTTAATGTTATGATATTTATCATAAGCAGTGAATAATGATAGGTACCAACTTCCTTTTGTGATTCTATTATCCTCAAAATATATATGAATCACATGTGTTAATAACATATTTTTTAACAGAATAGTAGTCATGAAGTTTTAAGCCAATCCACCTCTTGGAGTTTAAAAAAAATCCAAATAGCTTTCATAGTTTTTGTGTGATAAATATGGAAGTGTGACTTTTACATTATTTTAATCCTTAAAATTTTTAATAAGACTAACAAAGCTGTGTGCCTAAATTAATATGATAGAATTTGATTCATCAAGAAAACATTTGTAAAAGAAAAACTCATATATCAAAATTACAGTGCAAAAAAACTTACTTCTCAAATAACAGTTAAGTGACTAGTTAAGTTATAAAACAAAAACATCCTAACAAATTTAATCAGTGGGTGGAACAAGCAATCCATAATGCAACAATATGCAAATTTCTAAATCACAAAATTTTGTTTGAGTGAAGAAGAAAAAATGTTTAACAAATAATTTCAGTTAACTTTAATTATATTTAAATACAGAATCTTTCCGTTAAGAGTTTTTACAAATGTTTGGAAAAATCCCAGAACAAAAACAAGACTTCTATATCATCTAAAAATGTAATACATAATTTTGCACTTTATCTCACCACCTAGCAATTCTGGCTAACAACTGCTAAAAATATCACAAATGAAAGGACTGAAAAGTAATATCTGTTTTTCTGTTGATGTCAGCGAGTCCTATGTCCTTCAAGAACTAGTATAGGAGCTTGGGATGTATAACATGACCTTGCTGCTAACAGAGTCCAGAAACTCACACTCCACCTGTTTAAACTTGGCATCCAGGATTGCCAGGGATGACCTGGATGGGACCATTAGGTAATTGCTCATGCTGTTCCCACTGATGATATGTCGGTGGATAGGAGATGGGTGCCACGAGTTTGTTGGATCCAGATACTGAGATCCTGTAAAAAGATGAATTGTTTGAGTTAAGGGTATTGAGAAAAATGAATGTTGAAAGATTTTTACACATATATTTTTGGTGCAATAATAAGTGAACAGCATCTTCATTTAATTAAATATTTAACTTCTTCTTGTTTTTAATTGTTCTATGAGTATAATTCCTACACCTGTTCTGCTTGCTCCCGCCTTCCTTTAAGGGTCAACAAGTATACTGATGACTGTTCTAAAGGGGCCCAAGGTATTCTTTCTTTACTTACTATGTCATGAAGTCAATACCTGCCTCTGCTTTCATGAACCATACCCTTCATTACTGTTTTCACAAAAACCAAAGTATTACATTTTATGAAAAATGATAATGAGCTAGTTCCCCGCAGTAATGAGATGGTGAAGAATGTCAGTATTTTTTCATTTTCTTGGTCCATGGCACTCTAACATCTTTCTGTATCATTTAAGTTGTCTGACTGTCTTCTTTAGTGATGGCAAAATAGTCCAGGGCTCATGTCCCTTTGTTTCTACAACAAAGATGCCTGTTCAGAGAATTTTCAATTTAAGTTGTTTCTGATGTTGTGCCATAGGCTCTTTCTAATATTTAACCTTTGCACTACTAAATGTTATTTTGAAACAGTGCTGTTGAATCTTGGAATGTGAATGAACAAATTAAAAACTTTGAGGCTGTGGAGATGTTGTTTCTGAGATGCAGGCTATGGATACCATGTACAGCCAGAGTAACTAACAATGAGTGGCTGGAAATGGCTGATGAAATGAGAAAACTATATACAGATATAAGAACAAAGCAGTCATTGTTCTTCAGTCTTGTGTTGAGAAGAAAAACATTGCAGAATATTGTGATGACTGAAAAGATCAACAGTAGAAGAGGCCGACTAAGAGAAACAATGTGATGGTAAGGAGGAATAAGATCAGCTGAAATGATCTAGAATACCAAGGAGTGCGCCTGACTGGGCACATAAAGATGATTACAATTGCTAAATTAAATCTTTATCTTTAAGGTATCACAAGGAAAGAAAAGATCCAAAGACTGTGGACAATGTCTCGTGCTATACAGAAAACATATGATTTTGTGTGTATTTGGAATAGAAAGAATAAATAACAAACCTGGGATTTTCTCTACTTTTCCAGTCACTAGATTCATAATAATGACATCATCATCATCAGCAGAAGTCAACACAAGGTCATAACCTTGATGAGATATGGCAGGCATAAAAGCAACATCACTAATGCTGGCACTCACTGTGACTTCATAGGTGGTCTCCAAAGCTCCTGTGTGCCACAGAACAATATGTCATTACAACAAAATGTTTGAAAAAATCTAAATGTACATTTTCAGTTACATAAAATATGAGCTTAGATGCTTAATGTCAGCCCATGATTTGTATACAGCTCTGGTGTAAACAATTTTTTACTTTCGAAAGCTTTAACATTTAATAATCTTTTAACATTAAAAATTAAAAAAAAATAATTAGATATAAGGATCCTGTTTTCATCTAATTAATTTGAATTCTATGTGTATTTTATTTCTTCTTCTTTCTTTTGTCAAAATCTGCTTGTGCCGCTAGGCGTCGCAGTCTATCAGATGATCGGCAACCAAGCCAGAGCGCGCTCAGTCGCTTCATATGCCGTGATCTTATGAAGTCTCAAGTTGTCCGTGACTCCTTCAATCCATCTTCTTCTTGGTCTTCCCCTGCCTCTTGGTGTTTCGATTTTCATGTTGTATGCTCTTGATGCTGGCATCGTTGGTTCCATTCTCATTAGGTGACCAACCCATTTCATTCTTTGCTTCTCAATTAATTTAACGATTACCAAGGAAAACATAGTATATATGTATATATGTATATATATATATTTTTTTTTCTCAATTTTTATCCAAAAGATTTGATAGATAGTGTTACATTTTTATCCAAAAGATTCGATAGATGGTGTCCAATTTTTATCCAAATATCCTAACAGTTACATATATGCTTCTCATGGTTGTCATGCTGGAAATGTCCCTTTATTTCAAACTAGCAAGACATCAGACTGATTTATTTTGTATGTCTTTCTCCTTAGAAGGACGTATGACACATAATGTTGCGTTTTATAGCTTTTATGTGGTATCTACACCTATCAGCCCAGCACATCCAATTATCAAATTGCCCCTAATTATTATCCTTTCATGATAAGCTTGTTAGGGGTCAATAGGTCTGTCCACCCCTTCCCCTCCCAAAATGGGACTTAGAAGCCCATACAGGGATAAGTAAGATTAAAACTTACATCAAAATTCTACTTCTCCTTTTTCATTTCCTCTTTTACCATTTTGATTGTTGAAAGTTCTGGTTCTTGATATGCAGGTCACCTTGACCATAGACACATACTGTTATAGAGTAAACATCAAACTAGAGAACTAATTAAGTTCCGGTGGACCAAGAGGTGAAGAAAAGATGCTGGTGTTGGATAGGACATAGCAATAAAGGAAGACCCAAAACCCCATTTGGGGTTTGAAAGGCAAAAGAAGAAGTCATGAGACTTACGTGTACATTATTTACAAATTTACCAATGCTTCCGCTTACCCTCATCTGAAACTGAAGTCACAATAACTTTGCCAGTTAATTTATCCACAGAAACTAAATGTCGTGAGTCTGGCGAGGTCATAGGGTAGCCATTGAGGGATGTTGTTGAGGTGATGGTGTCTGTAAGGTAGTCCATCACCAGTTGCAGGGTGTGTTGATCTGCTGCTGAGACACACTGGATGACGACATGCCCTCCTGATAAAATACACAAATTAAAACTCTTTTAACTCTTCAGTCCCATGCAAAGCATTGTGCATAATTGGAAACTCTTTGTGCTCACTGAGCAACACATGTTCTGATCAGAGGCTCATACTGAAACCTGGCCAGTTATTTTAACATTTAACTAAATATATGTAACGTTATCACGATCAACCCATGTCGACCCAGCCCTAAATGGGTATCAGGTAAAGTCCTGGGAAGTAAAGGTGGTCACCTTGATGCTGACCTTATCAACCACCAAGTGCAAATTGGTCTATAAAATAAAAGTCTAGCCCTATATGCCCAAAGGTGTGAAAAAGGGTCCTGTACTTAACTTTTCATCACAGTCAGAATCACTGAACACTGGGCATTTGCATGCAGGCTCAGTGCTGTGTTGCAACAGCCATCCAAAGATACCACTATTGACTGTTCTTTGGGAGGTTTGTTATAATACCTGCTATCATAGTTTCAATGAGGGAATAAACATGTTTTATCAAGCTTTACTCTTAGGTCATGTAATTGTGAGACTCATCAACAAGACTAGCCCATACAGTAGTAATGACATCAGCTCTGTCCATGTTTTTCCTACATCTATTGGTACATTCCTTTCCAGCATGTTCTTCCTACATCTATTGGCACATTCCTTTCCAGCATGTTCTTCCTACATCTATTGGCACATTACTTTCCAGCATTTTCTTCCTACATCTATTGGCAAATTACTTTCCAGCATGTTCTTCCTACATCTATTGGCACATTACTTCCCAGCATGTTCTTCCCACATCTATTAGCACATTACTTCCCAGCATGTTCTTTGAACATCTATTAGCACATTACTTCCCAGCACGTTCTTCCTACATCTATTGGCACATTACTTTCCAGCATGTTCTTCTCACATCTATTGGCACATTACTTTTCAGCATGTTCTTCCTACATCTTTTGGCACGTTACTTTCCAGCATGTTCTTCCTACATCTATTGGCACATTACTTCCCAGCATGTTCTTCCCACATCTATTGGCACATTACTTCCCAGCATGTTCTTCCCACATCTATTGGCACATTACTTTCCAGCATGTTCTTCCTACATCTATTGGCACATTTCTTTCCAGCATGTTCTTCCCACATCTATTGGCACATTTCTTTCCAGCATGTTCTTCCTACATCTATTGGCACATTACTTTCCAGCATGTTCTTCCTACATCTATTGGCACATTACTTTCCAGCATGTTCTTCCTACATCTATTGGCACATTACTTTCCAGCATGTTCTTCCCACATCTATTGGCACATTTCTTTCCAGCATGTTCTTCTTACATCTATTGGCACATTACTTTCCAGCATGTTCTTCCTACATCTATTGGCGTGTTACTTTCCAGCATGTTCTTCCTACATCTATTGGCACGTTACTTTTCCAGCATGTTCTTCCTACATCTATTGGCACATTTCTTTCCAGCATGTTCTTCCCACATCTATTGGCACATTTCTTTCCAGCATGTTCTTCCCACATCTATTGGCACATTTCTTTCCAGCATGTTCTTCCCACATCTATTGGCACATTACTTTCCAGCATGTTCTTCCTACATCTATTGGCACATTACTTTCCAGCATGTTCTTCCTACATCTATTGGCACATTACTTTCCAGCATGTTCTTTCTTCATCTATTGGCACATTACTATCCATCAAGTTCTTCCTATATCTATTGGCATGTTAATTTCCAGCATGTTCTTCCTACATCTATTGGCACATTACTTTCCAGCATGCTCTTCCTACATCTATTGGCACATTACTTTCCAGCATTTTCTTCCTACATCTATTGGCACATTACTTTCCAGCATGTTCTTCCTACATCTATTGGCACATTACTTTCCAGCATGTTCTTCCCACATCTATTAACACATTACTTTCCAGCATGTTCTTCCTACATCAATTGCCACATTACTTTCCAGCATGTTCTTCCTACATCTATTGGCACATTACTTTCCAGCATGTCTACAGGAAATGATAGACATTGTGGTAGAAAGTGGAAG